CTTAGAAACCTAAGCAAAAGAAATATTATTTCTGATTGTGTTTACAATAATTGATATCCCACAGGCTCCCAACCTGGAATATTATATGGTATGCCGAAAGTTCACAAACCAGACACCCTCTCCGACCTATACTTTCTGCCTTAGGCACCCACAGTTATAACGTAGCTAAATTCCTTGTACCAATCTTAAAACATTTTACTATGAACGAATACACATCACCTGACTCCTTCTAATTTTCCCGAGAAATCAGTCAAACCCCCCTCCCCCTTAAAGATCAGGTGATGGCTAGCTTCAATATTACTTCTCTTTTTACTAGTATTCCCCTGGACGAAACCATTAATATTGCACTTTCTAATCTTTTTGCTAAAAACATTCTTGTTAATGGATTTTCTAAGTCTGATTTCAAATCTATGCTTGAACTCTCAACCAAAGACTTTCTTCTCCTCTTTAACAATACTCTATATGAGCAAATAGATGGCGTTGCTATGGGCTTCCCACTGGTTAACATTTTTCTCTGTAATCACGAACAGAATTGGATTGAGAACTGTCCGTTAAGCTTCAAACCTGTTCTTTACAGAAGGAATGTTGATTATACTTTCCTTATTTTCCGCTTTACTGATCATATCCAACGCTTTCTTGACTATCTTAATTCACAACATCCCTCTATACACTTCACTCATGAAATTGAGACAAATAACTCTATTCCCTTTCTGGACGTTCTTGTTAACCATGATGCTAACGGCTTTTTAACTTCTGTCTATCGTAAAAACACATTTACTGGCCTTTTCACACAGTTTGACACCATTCTCTTTCAAACAAAATCTTATTCTCTGTCTACAAATTTACCTCATCCTATTTAGCCCTTAACAAAGACTTTTTTTTTCACACAAAACATTCTCTTTCAAAACGGCTACCCTATGCATTTCTTGGAGAAAATAATTTCCTTATTCCTAACTAATTTGTTTGTCAAATCATCTAAGATACCCACTGTACCCAAACTTCCCTTATACACCTACTAATTATATCTCGGGAGACAGAGCTCCCTTATCACGAAATAGTTAAAAAGTTATGTAACATTTACTATCCCATAATTTACCTGAAAGTCATTATGAAACCCAATTTCAGACTAAAAAAACATCCGCTACAAAGATTGTTTGCCGACTGCCCATTGTTCATATTTTGTCTACTTATACACGTGCGGAGACTGTAAGGCCCCCTATATTGGTGAAACGAAAAGTCAACTTAAATTACGAGCATGTGAACACATGAGCATGTCTATAAAAACTGGAAGAAAGGTTACAAACCCTCCCAACCCCGCTATTTATCAACACAATACAGAAACAAGTCATCCGATTTCTCTCTCAAATTTTAAAATTCTTTCAACAGCCAAACATGATACTGAACTTCTAATAAAAAACAAAACAAAAAAAACATTATACATAAAGAAATTGGTGAAATACCGAATTCACAGATAGTAGCTTCAATTGGGATCTGCGAGGCGGTCTTATTGTCAAAGTGATAATTTCAGCGAGAATATTATCTATTGCAATACATATGATAACAGATCATAGTTATACTCGAGATTTTTTTTAAAGAAGAAAGTGCAATGGAAATAAGGTACCTCAAAATGGCTATTGTCAAAAATCTCTATTAAATCATTAGGTGAAATCCTCAAGCTAAAAGGTTTGATAACCTCTGATCTAATACTGAAAGGTGCAAGAGCATTTCTGGTATACTGCTAAAAGTACTGCATATTAGGAAATGTATAATTTCGTGTTTATCTCTTTTATCGATTATATGTGAAAGTAACCCAGCGCTTAATTTCTGCCGAATCCGAAGTCCTTGGTTGCATTGCTAATTGAAATTAAACGAACATAATCAACTACATTATTTTCCTCCAACCCAAATTGTATCCTCAATAACGTATAATTAAATTGTCTTCAAAAATCTCCTCCTCATTCCACGCGAATACATGAATCTATTAACCTTTTCGAATAATAAAAGTTACTGACGTAATTTTTCTAGTGTTTATTACGTTTTTTTTTTTTTTTTTTTTGTCAAGTGTAGCCACATAGTGGCTCGGCGGTAACTTTGAGAACTTATGACGCGAAAAATCGGGTTTTGATACCCATGATAAACACAGCATAGATAGCTCAACTGTGTAGCTTTGTGCTTAACAAAAAATAACAATGAACTTTTCAAATTTAGCAAGCACGAAATGTAGTAACAGTAAGTGTAATAATAACTATGCATTAGTTGAATAAATGAAATATCTTCCTGATGAAGTAAACTGTGTCACAAGATGTCACGCGGTTTTGTCACGCTATCTTTCGACAGTTGTCGCATTTAGGTTTCGACAAGCTTTACAGTTAGCAACACATTAGATTTAATGCTATCCGCTTTTTTTTGTTTAACGAGATTTTGTTATTTATAAAAGGTTGCTATCACCCCCACTATAAACTATTTTACAATTGTCTTGCCCAAATACCCGCACATACACTTCCAACGGCTTTAAATAATAAACAAAAGTTTTATATTATAATTACTGTTGAAAAATATATAATGGACTGAATAATATTATCCGTTTTACTCTTTGGAATACTTTTCGTTATACACTGAAAATTAAATTTCAATCTAATTTACATCATGCCTGTATTTCCAAAACAATTTCTTTATCTTGTTAGAAAGAAAATCCATCAAGAACACTCAGACAAATTAGTCATACTGCATCAGCGTGATTTCACTACCCCAATTCTGTCTAAATTGCTTGAACAAACTGTTTTTTAAATATGAAACGGACGTCAGTTAATAAAAATAGGCTGATCACGTTTCTGCCTTAAATTATTCTAAGTAATTACCACAAGTTTGACTCGTACCAAAAGCATTTCATGTTTCAAAAAATAAATAAATCTGACAGTAAAAAAAAAGAGTGAAGTAACCATAGAATACAAATGATTTAAGGTTCGTATTATTGCACCGTGTAAGCTTCATCTGAGTTTTACTGTAATGCAGAAACAAATGTAATTTTTATACAGCGGTAGCAGGGAAAAGTGAGATGAAAAATACTTTATTAAATCTGGATAAATGTTATTGAAAACCTTGAGATTTCATAATTCACTGTCATTCAGCAATGTATGGTCGTTATTAGTTATATTATAATACACCACCTCCAGCCTACTGTTTTTAAGAGGGGGGGATTACTGTTGGAATTACGAGGCGAATATAAAACGATTTTGGTTTGTACGAGTTTTTTTTTAAACAGATTATCATTTGAAATGTTACTATTTCTTGTTTTTCTACCTAAACTCATATTTACTGTAGAAGGTCTAAGAGTAAGTTAAGTTTCTTATTGCCACATTTATAAACAATTATTCTAGCATCAGCTTTATTTTTCAGATATAAAGTAAAAAAAATAATAAAAAAATACATATTTCAATACTTATCTGAAACTGGTAAACTTTAGGAAGTTTAAAAGGGAACACTCTTTCTTCAAGGCGATAGTTCAAAATTTACTTTGCAATGCTCTATATGAATATATTATATATATATATATATATATATGTCCACGGAAATGTTTAGTTTGGTATTTTCCAAGGAAAGTCATATAAACCTGCATATTCGAGATTTAATCGCTTTAACCATCTGTCTTGTCAATTAGTAAATAGTCTTAAGAGCAAAGTAAAAATTATAATTTATCTTTGGTATGGATATACCATGGTCAAAACACTTAAAAATCGTGATATTTCAAAGTTTACCAACATTTAGTTTACCTAATTGACAATTAATATAAAAAAACATAACATAGAATAAAATTTTGTTTAAAAATAATTCATAATGCCAAGAAAAATTTTTTAAAGTTTAGTTGTAGGAACAAAGATACAAAATAAGCTATCTGTGCTTTTCCCACTGCAGGTATGAAATCAATTTTTAGCGTTATAAGGCACCAGACTTACTACTGAGCCACCAAAGGTGTTGGAGACATTTTATAAGTATATATTATTTATTTAAAATATTTTATTTAAATCATGGATAAAGCAAATTAACATATTTTAAACTAGCTGCTCGTATTCTTCTTCCTATTTTTTTATTATTAGAAGAAATACATTAAAGTATCAGTGTTTACAATGCACCAAAAATATTGGAGTAGTCATTTAATTTGTGATGAAAATTCTAAAACGAGAAAGAAAACTCAATAGCTCTAAACCTTCTCTTTTTAAGTCTGTGTTTTTCCTTTAGCCTCTAATGAAACAAAGATATACAAAAAACAAACTTGTTTTAGTTTTCCATGTTATATTAGTGGTAATTTTTGCTAATTTTGAACAACTAAATTGTATATTTTCTAAAACTAATTTTACTTCAGGATAATTTGTATATTTCACTAACAACTTTGAAAATGATGCATATATTTGTTTTGAAGTTGTGATGATGATGAAAAAGAGCTTGTTCACAAGGTACAATGGCTTTTCCACTAGATTATATGCAAGCTCATGTCAAACTTTGAAAATTATCCTATAAAACATTACTAAGGAATTCAATTTGTGCTAAAATCTGTAGGTAATGACAAACTCCATTGTTTTAATTAATTTCATTAATATTTCCTATAATGTTTATTATTAATATTTATAAAAATTATTAATTAATTTTTTATATTTATGAAGATTATTCTACATTGTCAGCTTAATTTATGGATTTAGGTCAAACCTCATGAGATATTAATAATTTATGACTAAACATACTGTTAACAGTGAAAGTGCCTCTAACTGATGAATCAATGTAATCAATACAGGTTTTGAATTTTCTTGTGCATTGATTTATGACATTATGTACTTCTATTCAGTTTGCAAAAGAATTTATAATTTGTAAGTTATTTTTTAGTTCTGAGGTATATGTTTTCATGAAAAGTTATTAATAGATGTGTTTTAGTTAAACACTTTTTTGATGGAGATAGTATTGGTAATTATGAATGATATATTTTTCAAATAGAATAAATCTGAAAAGCATTTTTTTACAAAATTATTTTAATGAACTTGAATAGTTTCCAGCAGTTCTAAAATCTGAAGATCAGATTTTGTTAAATGAGGCTATATCCACACTTTGGACCTAAAAAAAAAAAGTGGAACAGAGTTTACAATATTTCAATTAATGAGATCAAGCTAGTTTCTATTAACAGATTAAACAAGAAATAATAAGTTATGCTTTACAAGGAGCAAGTTTGAATTACATACACTAGTGTATGTTATATACTGGCCATAATTAAAAAGACAAGCAGTTTCTTATTCTCACTGTAGTCTTCCTGAGATGTAAGAATTTTAAGTTCATAAAAATATATAAAAACACATCTCTTTGACTAAGTATAAACAAAAAAATAAACATGTTCTTTGGTGCAACCATGTCTTTCTTTTCAAATCAAGAATGTAATTCCACCAAGCTTGAAGGTTATTCAATTATGTTTTGCAAGTACGTTATATCAGGACATAGTGATGAGATACTGGTGTAAGCTGACATCATATTTTGAGGAGTACAAAAGGTTTATAAAATTTCAATATTTTATCTTTAAGGCATAGATTATACTACTAATGACAAAAAAATTAAGCCACTATGGAACATTAACCTGACAAACTTTTTATTTTACCCACTATTTAATATTAAAATAAGCCTACCACTTCTTCAAGTTCTTCAATCTTCTCTTGCAGCCAATCAATACTGACTTTTTCATCTTCCACAACACAAGAAATTTGAAGTTTGTGAATTCCATAGGCCAGAGGAACTAGTCTTGCTGTAACATTATGAAAGAAACAAATTATCAATTCAATGATAAGAACAAAAAACTGATGGGCTCTCTCTCTTCCAATCAATATTATTTTTCTATGTTTCAAGGTTATTTGTCACCAAAATTTTAAATTTTACCATTTTTTGGTTAAATCTATATATAGCTTTTAATACTCACTTTCATATGTCAACTGGCATGCTGAAATTGCCATACTTGCAATATCACATGTTCTACTCATAGGATTGAACCATTTTAGTAGTTACTATCTCTCTACATAAACACAGGTTGAGCACACTATGTTAAAATTATTTTAGAGCCTCACCATGTTATTACAGTACATGTTGCTACCTCCAGTCATGTTCTGTATGATGAATGTGCATCTTGACAATAGTCGTTCAACATGTTTTTATTGCAAAAGGCTCTATTGTAATACTGTCATGTCCAGAGCAGAGGACAACAGTTTCTAAACACCCATTTCTCAGTATGATCACATAAAATCTACAGGCATTGCACCTGGTGACATGACCAATATTTCTTTGTATGGAATAGCATATGTACCCACTTCATTCTGCTATGGTTGAACAAATATGTTATGGAAATAACTTGCGTACACATGACTGGTGTCGCATTTCTAAATGGAGATCCTTCTTGTTTATTTTTTGTACTGCTTCCTAGGGCATGTGGATCACTTCTGCCATTGACCTTTGTTTTCATAGGTTCTCACCTATTAGAAGATGCTGCACTTTGCTTATCATGACTGGTGTATGGATTTGTTGCAGATCTTTTTCTGGATGGTCCTGGTTCTCCAAATTGATCCATATTCCTTTTTTCCCCCATTGCCATTAAGTAAAAGGGATAGCTCCACCTTGAAAAGTTACAATTTTCTTACACTGAAAATGCATTTCTGATAGGTATTTACCCCCTTTCGCATAAATAGCTATTCTCGTTCAGTGCTGCCCTCTATATAAATTTTTTTTTTGTTATATGCATGTCATAAGCCTTTTATCTCCCCTCCATTGGAATTGACTGGTTCCAATGTCTCTCATGCAAATCATCATGTATCAACCCAACATTAAGAGTGCAACATACTCTCATGATGTATGTGACTTCCTTCATTCAATTCTACCAAACTACCGCTTCGAGTTTTGGCAGAAGATGGAAGCTCTGGTTTTCAGTGGGGAGGAAGAGTGAAGAGAGGTAAGTACCTATCAGAAATACATTTTCAGTGCAGCAGAATTATAACTTCTGATATAGTACATTACCTCCTCTCACATAAATAGCTAGAATCCCACATTGAATAGGCGGAGGGAAAAAAAAGAGAAGCACCATTCAAAGGACATTCCTTGAGACTAGAGAGTCAGATTCTAAGATCTAATGTGGGGAATTGCACCACTTCTGAGCCAGGTATTCTCTTTGATTGTAGAAAAATGTTGCATAAATGGGCCGAAAACATAGGAGCACATCCAACTGGGAGAGAACTATGGCCAGAAAGTGATTCGAACAATGCAATATTAATGAAACTCAATCCCAGAAATTATAAAAGTGGGAAAGATGAAAAGGATGTGCTCCTAGGGATAGAGTGGCTAGGGGCGTGACAGACCCTACATGGCAAGTCATCTACATCCAAAACCCATGCTGCTGGGGACCGACATTCACGTGGGGGGTAGGATGATGATCATACCACTGGCATGTTGACTACAATCCAAAACCCAGCCATCTGGTGGGGATAGGAAAGAGGATCATACCATCTTTGCCTCAAGCTCATGAGACCGAAAGGAATTTAGTATCCCCCCAACTATGAATGGGGCATATGTGAATATGACAAATTGATAGATTGATCCAGGAACCCAACATCCAGTATCGAAAAGATGTCTACATAATGTAAACCATCTCCCTGAAAAGTGAAACTGACCTGAATCACTCCAAGAGCATTATCCTCAGAATAAGAAACATGTTTCATAGTGGAGGATATTACGTCATCTACACCAGCAGAACACCACCACCCTACTCTCAACTGAATAATTTTATAATCATTTCTATATTTTGTTTGTATAAGAGAAAAGGGCGCTGAAAAGGAAAAATAATAATAATAAAAAAAAAACTTACCAAGTCAAAATCTCACTGAATTCTGATATTCTAGAATGGCTACAGTTGGAAGACGATAACCCAGAGATGAAGAAAACCACAATCCGATGCAAGTAGTGAGAGACAAACATATCATGGGTAGTCCACATGCCTGATTAAAGAAGTACCTTCAAAGGATGATAGAGCTGAAATGCCAATGAAAAGATAATGTGCCACATTGGGACAGAAGACACTTGGAACAAAGAACACGAGAAAGACAATAAAGAGAAGAAGCCAATTCAATGAAGAGCTGAACCCAACTGGCGAAAGGAAGAGTGAGAAAGAACACAAACAGAGGATAGTTGCCAAGGGAGAAAGAGGTGGGAACGGATGCCACAGAGAGAAGACGTGTTGGCAAATATTAACAGAGAAGTTTATCCAGATCTGGACGAGCATAAAGACGTGAAAAGGAAGGAAGGGAAAGTGGCTAAAAAAAGGAGATATCATCATGAGCCATCAAAGTGTTAGTGATGAAAAAAGATCCAGAGAAAGGAGAAGATATGTAGAAGGATAAAGTGTATGTGAAACATCAATGGCAAATAAACAGACCACCGATGTCCACAGGCAAATAGGAGAAGGAAGCAATACATAATGGAAGGTGAAATATGGAGCACTGGGAGAGTGGTTCCAACGTAGGCAAATTGAGACTGTGCAGGACCACATTAATACCCCCATCTGGAAGGGCAGCCCACTGTGGAGGATGACAAATCTGGAAGGAACATATACAAAAGAAAAGTGAAGGAGAGGTAAGTACCTGCAGGAATGGGAAAAACACTAGGTGTGGGACAGGACTGCACAAAAATCTGAGACTGAGAATATGGAAGACTCCCGATCCAAAACTCAAGAGAAGAAATTTGTATGACAAAGAACAGTGGGCTGATCAGGGGAAAACCCTGGACCCAGAAACCAATGCTGGAAAATTCCGTTTGTGTTGAGAAACTTCTATGTAGGAAGGGCGAATGAAACAAGCCAGAAAAGGGGCCAATCATCGGGAGAAGTTGAATCACCTTGACAATGACCAGAGTAAAATCAGGCATGAAGACAGAGGAGAGGAAAGTCTAGATGAAACACCAGTGACTGAGGGTGGCAAAGAAGGAATGGAGACAGGGAAAAGATAATGGAGACAGCTGAGACAGCCAAGAAAGAGCTATCAGAAGGACTGAATATGGAGTGTCAAGGATGAACGAAATCATCCAGAGAAGAAGGAGAATGAGAGGATAGACAAATGTTTAGATTCAATCTTTGCCAAAAACATCAATAGCCAAAGCAAGAAAATGAGGAACCAGAGACTAAAAAACTAAAGCAATTTGTGGTTAAGGGACCTAGCAAAAGCCTCAATGTGAGGAGTACCCTACTGAAGTCAAAACCACTGGAAAACAAAAGGATCAAGAAACCACTCCATTGAATAAATGTGGTCTTGACAGGAATCTGATCCACAACAAGAGCAAAAGCACCTGGAACATTACACGCAATGAGAGGAATATCAAGCATGTGGGCCCAAAAAGAAGATCCAACATATAAATACAGAGGGATGGAGAATGGGTGATGCCTTGGTGATTAAGATAAGCAACCACTGAAGAAAAGGTTGAATGGATCATTACCAGATGATTTCTGGCCAGATGGAGAAAATGAACCAAAACACGACCTACAGGGAGAAGCTCCTGGACGTTGATAGATAAGACCTCTCGGCCGCAGACCAAAAATCCCTAATCTTCAAGTTGATCAGTCCATGCCCTTCATCCCTGAAGGGAAGCATCCATAAAATGTGGAAAACCTGATGAGGAGGAGGAGGAGGAGGAAGTGGGACACCCACCAACATATGAGTCGTATCTAACGACTAAAGTTGATCAGTGACACAGGTAGGAGAAAGGGTAACTACAGCTTACAAAAGATCCCTGCAAAATTTCACAAAACAACCAACATTTAAGCCTCACCAAAGGGAATAAGGGCTACCAAGGAAGATCACATCCCCCAAAAGTGAAAGAATTTCGTGAACTGTAATAGAACTGAAAACCCATTGAACTAAGTCAAAGAGAAAAAGGGTGGGCCTGAGTGAGTTGTGTGTAGAAAAGAAAAACACCCAAATGGACAAGATATTGGATAGGTCGCAGTAAGGACTTCTCCAACTTAATTGATAGCTGATATAGCCTCCTCCAGGAGCAGCTGATAAGAGTAACAGGTGGATTCCTGTGCAGAATGAGCAAACAGTAGCTAGTTGAACAAAGAAAGAGGAAAGCACAACCCGAGAACATATACAGGATGAATGAATGCTCTGACTGCCTGATATAACGTACAGGGCCGACGCAATGAAGGGCAGTGTGAGAAAAAGAGAAACCACCCCATGGAGAATTAACCAAAGAGTCATAAGTGACAAAATATCAGGATATGCAAATAAGAATTTGCTAGATTCCTCTTTGTCATTGATAAACTTGAAGAAAAAGCCTACCTAAGGATGAGAAATGACTCCAAGGTAAGTGGGACAGATTGAAAATTAGAATGAGTTGGGACAAACCTAATACAGGCCACCAGTCTCTGGTTTGGTGCAAACTGGAATAAAAGCCTGGAGAAAGATGATAAACAGGTGCAATAGCCTGTAGAGACAGAAAATCTTGTACCGCCTCAGACAGATGCAGGCTGGTGGCAGAATCCCAAGTCTTGGAGAAGGAGAAGGCTACCTAAGGTCAAAGGAGTTGGGGAAAGAAATAGTAGGACAAATCCCTCTGATGACACCCAAAGAACCCATGGTACTGTAATGAAAGATCACGAAAGGGTAACAATATAATATAGTCAAGCTCTCACTGGACTGCAATCCTCTGGTTAGTCTCCAGTACTGTTTGGTGACATGTCCATTAACATTGAATAAAATGATATGATGAGAAACCCCTGGAAGGAGGACAGGGATGGGTAGATAAGGACCAGGACAGGAAAGGGATATGTGCATGTCGTGGCTCCAAATGCAACAAACATGCAACTGAAGAGGAAAGGGTCAAGTGTTGACACACAGATTATACACAAGAATCCAAAATCTCAAATGATCGAAAACACATCACCACATAAAATATACAGAAAACCCGAAAAAACAGAGGTGGCAAATGTACCCAGGAAAAGGTTGCATCGCGACCCAGAAAATCTCAACTAGAGTGTAACCACGTGTGTAAAGCGAGAGCTGAAAAAGACAAATGAGCCAAATGGAAGTAATAAGGAATCATAGAAAAATGGGGAATTGGATAAAAACATAATATACCTGATAAATCATGTCGAAAAATGTCATATTATGCCTAACTGATTTTGCAGGAAGGGTACTGAAAAATACAGTGGTGTAAAAAAGCTATCAAATCTTCATTGGCCTGAATAGGTTCAGCTTGCTCAGGAGGATTAGTGGAGCAAGTTCACAAGAAGAAGGTTGAGCCATACAACAATCAATCTCACGATGGATAATAACAAAGAAATCCAATGACTGATCTCCCCCACTTGCTGCCTGTGAAAGTAGTGCTAGAGGTATAACACCCAAAGATGGACACATGAATCTCAGAATTTATTGTAGAAATACTTAATTGAAACAAAAGTGTTTGATGTAAAATATGCAAGTGTGAAGAAAATAAGATGATTGGAAAATTAAGTTCAATTAAAAGATTTTGTCAATATAAAGAAATCCTACTACGGAAATTAAACTATTAAAATCATGATTCACTTGAAGAGCACCAAAAGAAAAAACATATGAACACGAGTACTGCCAAACGAGAAGTGATAGTTCAGTAGAATTGAAGGTTGATGCATGAGAGATGCATTGAAATCAGTCAATTCCAATGAAGGGGAGATAGAAGGTGGCATGCATAAAACATATTTTTACATATAGAGGGCAGCACTGAAGAAGAATAGCTATTTATGTGAGAGGAGGTAATATACCATATCAGAATTCTAAGTCCTTAATTTAAACACATCTTTATGATCTGAGTGTGTGAAGTTTTGCATTGGAAAGAGCTGTCACATTACCTATGAAATGCCAAGCAATGTCAAAATGTAGTTCTGATACATTCTATTCCATAGTGACTTTATATTGGTTGTGGTTGTCATGACTTACTGATTTACATATTCAAAATAGTTTTAATATACTCAACCCTCTGTACATTCCCAATACACCCAAGTAATCTTTACAGTTTTTAAATATAGGGTATTTTTAACACTGACTAAACATATAAATAATGAGTAACATGTTCTACAGAAAGGTCTATATCTTACAGTTCTAGAAAAATTTTACAGTCAAAGATATTTATAAATGAGATTGAGTTTTTGTTCATTAGAAGTGAGCTTTTAATATGCGTGTTGATGTTTATGAAGACTTACGGAGTGCATCTTTTTTTTTTTTCTGCTAAACAGAATATATTTGTTTACTATACATAAAGTATTGATTGCTAGTAATTGTATTAAAAATAAATAAATAGTAAAAGAACAGTATTTTGGGGTTTCTAAGAATTTAAAAAATTTATCTGTCCAATTATTATTATATACACTCGTAATCAATGTTATATTCTTGGCCCTTTTTGCTTTAGAGATCCTCCTACTGATAAGGTTTTACCTTTAATTTTGTCTATAATAAATAGTAACACATTAAGAGTATAGATTTCTTTTGGGTTATGTGCTGTGGTGGAAACAGTAGAATAATAATACATGATATAAGTAACTAGTTTGAAATTTCTCATGAAAAATATAATAAACTATTAAACTGTAACAGAAAAATTTAGGTACACTTAATGAATTAAGTTCTTGTACAATTTACTTTTATGCTGTATCATCTTTATTATGTTCATTCTGTATCATGCTGTGTTTGTTATATATACACACACATATGCAAATGTAATTTTAATATCAATAAATCTTAGAACTTATATGTCATGCACAGACAATTAATGTATGAGGGAGCATTATTTTTAATGAAAAATTTTACTTATATAGTTTAAAATGCTTTTGTTTCATTAAAATGATTGTTTCATTTATATATATATATGTACATACAGGCCCACTGAGAGGGCAACTACCCTGGAGCTCGTGCATGCCCAAGGGCCCATAAAAAATGCCCCAACTTTGAACAGATGTTTATGTTTTTTCTTTTCTCAAAATTATATTGTTGATTGTTAAAGGCCTTTGTCCACAGAACATTTCACAAAGGAAATTGGCACTCTAAGCTGTAACTTAGTGGTATTAAGACTTAAAATATTGCTAAAATTACTTATAGTCTTGAGCTTCTCTCTTGGTCTCCCATCAGAGGCTCAGCTCTTGGATCCCACTGGGGGCCCGTCACTGCTCTCGATGGCCCTGTGTTCATACATACATATATAGTCATCCCAATTCTTAGTTGCTGTTATGTTTGATTCTGAGACAGATTTGATTTAAAAGTAAGTACAATTGAAGTACACTACATGTTGTATGTTACTCTCTGTGAAAACCAGATTCCACTACAACTGCTTTCTGCCAACTTGCATAAAGTTTGCAGTGAGGAAGGATTTTGTTGTTCATCCTGTGTTGTCAGTGTCTGAGCTTGTTGTGTCCAGTTTTTTTAAACTGTCATCTTAAATTTACTAAATATTGTTTAAAGATATCAGATATCTTTTACATAATGCCTTTTAAATGAAGAAAAATGAGCAATAACTTGGAAATATATTCATTTTCAGTAGTTTACACTCTCACCTGCTCCCCATAGAAGACCATCAGTTTCTATCTTACGAACTTGTTTTTCCATAAGTTTGAGGTCAGTTTCATCATCCCATGGTTTTATATCAAGAACAACACTAGATTTGGCAATAACAGCTGGTTCTGCAAAGGAAGAGTCTTTATAACAACAGAAGCTAAAACTGATTTTCCATAGGTGAATAAAATGGTTCTCAAACCAAGAGGTTGTAAAAAGTTACTACATACATTTGTAGGATAAAATACCTTAGAACACATGCAGATTACATTGACACCTACATCTATAATATTGATCTTTACTTCCCTATGTTATCACTGTGATAGTATTAAATTAAAGTTCTCCAACATATTTGATAAATTTAAAATTCAAGTGAACTGAGACAAGTAAGACCATAATATCAGACTAGTGGTTCATTTCTTTCTACAGTAAATCTTCCTATAATTAGGCTATTTCTATATCTATTATTTTTTTGCAGGCTGTACACAATACATACTGTTGTATATTTATGTGATGTGAATAACCTTATGTTTATTAGTAAATCTGTTGTAACTCAGCTTTCATAATGAGCTTGATCAAACTTAACCAATGCCAATATAACATCAAACTCACTTGAACTGTTTATCAGTGGTGTTGAGAAGGAGTCTATCACCAATTCAAAATAAACAGCTGTCAAAGAACTATAAGAATGTAAAAAAAATCTAAACCAATGTCTTCTAAGCTTTCAAACTTACACACAAACAAAAATGTCATTAATGTATCAAAGTATTTTTTATAAGCTCAGACAATTTTAGCATTGCTTAGTCAAAAAAATTAAGAATTTGTTTGTTTAAAATGTATTTCAGTTTATCAGTTATCAGAATTTCTCAAGTCCTTAGCTGCTAC